CTGAGTCGACTATTGAGACAATATATCAAAGACTTGTCGATGACATTATTAGGATTTTTTTTCTTTTGGTTTTCTATTCTCGCAACTATTCAACTAAATTATCTTATATTTACTTATGTTAATACAAGCCATATAAATAGGAGATTCATCTAGTAACAGTGTTTCTATGATTAGCGATCTAGTGGATTTATGTCTGTGTCTATGTGCACTTACTTCAAAATGCCAGCGCATAGTTAGGGAAATTGATGATGTTGCTTGATCAAGTGTAGTTGATGACCCAACAGTTGTATTTGTTAATGCTGTTAAACTTGAATGATGAGATGTTGTTGAATTGATTGATTTTGTTGAAGGTGATTTAACTAAAGAAAGAAAATTACGGAATGTTGTTATTGTTGAAGAAGAATTTGTTGATATAGATGAAGGTAAGGAATGTGATGAATCTGGAGGTAAACCAACTCGAAGATGATTACATTTCGTTGTTTTATTTCGTTTAAGAATATTTCTTAAAGCTAATGCAGCCGGTGATGCATCAGGTAATGAATATCGATATTTAGTTCTTGGTGGTGTTTGAAAATTAATTTCATCATCATCTTCTACATCATCTTTATTATTATTATTATTATTATTATTATTTTGATGATTATTTATTTGAAATGATTCTTTTTTTGTATTAATTGGTAATGTTTTATTAGCTAATGATTTATAAAGTGATTGACATCTTTGTCGACATAATTTGATATAATCACCTTCAGATGATTCTTGATGATTATTTGATGATATATTTGTTATATCATTCGTTAATTTTGTTGATCGAGCAACAAATAAACTAGCTCGACGACGATTACCATGATATATACGTTCTTCTGGTATAGTTGTACTTTGTAAATCTGAACAAGCTGATCGTCGAATACGAATTTGTGAACGTTGATTATGATGTGTTTGAGACATGTTTGGTGATGCTGATGTTGCACGTATACTTGAATTATTATTCTTTTCTGGAATAGAATCTGTATCGAGACGAAATCGAGGTAAAGGTATATGACGAGACATTATTTATATATTTAAATTTTGTCGTATGAGTCAATCAATGCAATATTGTTGTTGTTGTTGTTGTTATTGTTATTGACGTGGAGAACAATTTATCAACATTCTTTTTTTTTATCAAAGTAATGTTTGTACACGAACTCGATTTTCTCGGTCTCTCTCTTTTTGTCTCTTTCTCTCGTTTTCAATCGTAGACATACATGCGCATGTGCGCAAAAAGTTCTCTAATTACCGAAGGCCGTAATGTTAGTGATGGTAGTACTTTCTCTCTCGTCGTTCTTTTCCTTCCTTTTTTTTCTCTCTAATAATAGCCCAGTCGATCATTCGTTATTAAATGGACTTAAAATAGACAATGATGAAAGTGGATAAAAGATGTATTGACGTTCAAGATTCAACGATAGGATGGTGTTCGAGTTAAAAGCAATTTTATGTGTGTATGTGTCGATTTTCAAGAAGCGTCGCTTCTAATTATATGCGCGACACAAAGAGAAAACTAGAACGACATCAAGAGAATGACAACAGCTATAGGAGTAGCATCATCTTCTTTCTCTTCATGTTGTCTGTCTCTTTCGCTGCTGTTACTTTGTGTAATCAACGATTGGATCAATAGAATGATAGGCAAAAGAGAAAGGAAGAACTTAGTTAGATGATTTTCTCAAAACATACGTTACACGCTTATGCATGTACAAGACAATATATTTTCTTATTTTTGTTTTCTTTTTATATGATTTCAATTTTTGTTTTTTTTATTCATATATTTTATTTGAGTTAAGAATTGGTCAAATTGATGAAATATATGAGAATATTGACCATTGAACAGAGAAACTTGTTTTTTTGTTGTTTGAATTTGTCCGCTTTTTTCGATTAGAATGTTGTCGAGTGTAATAATAGAATTGACGACGGAAAACAAGATTCAGAGACGAATGGAACGGAAGATACATTTTGTTCGTGATAATATTAGTAATAGCTGTCGTTGAGTGTAAATAGACGATATATAAACTATTGACAAAGTTTAGAAAAATGACTATGCACGTCTCTATAAATGTTTTCCTGATTTAAAGATTTTCTTTGCTTTATATATTTGTGAGTATATACGAAATATATTAGAAAATATTGTGCTATTGATATCAAATACTTGTTTTACAGTATTGAAAACAAGAAGAAGAAGAAGATGATGATGATGATGATGATGATGAAGAAAAAAAAGGAAAGCCTATTGAGGATTGCACCCACATTAATTACAAAAGTTGATTTATTCCTGACATTATTGTTTTCTAAGCCAACTGTGAAACAAAATAACAATAGAAGAAAAAAAAAGAAAGATGATTGAGAATTTAGTTGAATTAATATAAGAATGATATGAAAAGAAAGAGATCGAACGACTTGCGACATCTTATGAATAGTTTCGGAAGATGGGGATAATACTTGTTAAACTATTATTAATCATATAAGAATATACGAATTTATCTTATTCTAAATATATTTTATATTAAAATCTAATTAATCATTACCTGAAAATGTACATGCTATATAATTGCAATCGATTGACGCCATTAAATTTTTCTAAAACAAAATATAAATTAATTAATCAATATTATTATACGATTTTCACCTGAAAATTTCTCAAGAATGAATAAATATCTTGTTTTGTTCTTTGTTAGCTAAATAATAATCTACAATTCTATGTAATGTATTATATTTGATAAATAGAAAAGAAATATAAAAACAAAAAAAAAACAATAGAAACAGACAACACAATAGTATTAGATTGGAAAAAGTAATACTCTACTCGGGTGTCTCTGAACTCATATGTCCTAACAACAAATAATTCTTTTCTAGCTATGTCAAATTCTTTCTGTTTTTTCCCTAGTGTCTCGCTTATGAATCTTGGCTGTGCTCTTCTGACGTGTCAATCTTATGTTTTTCATCAGTATTGGTCTTCCTGAAGAAGAAGAAAAGAGAATATTTGTCCTTGTAAAAGACAAGAAACATGATGAGAGAAGACAATCAATGTGCTTGTTTTGTTTATTGATGTCATCGAATAGATGCAATATGAAATGTAAGATACATATCGACGATGAGATCGTCTCTACTTCTATGTAGAATAACACATAAAAATTGTTCGATCCCATAAAGATTATTAGTTGAATTTTCTTTCTTTCTTTTGTATATCATTGGTATGAAATCAAACATGATAATCAAAACGGAACAAGTAACAATAGTCTATCTGTTAATGGAATATCTAATGTAATGATAAAATAAAATTACATTCATGACTTTTTAGTAATTGCAGAAAAGACTATTGAATTAGAAGTCATCAAGTGAAATTTAGATACGAAAAAATATTTTCTATTATGTTTTTAGTGAAATTTTCTGCATGAAAAATAAATACTTTATAATTCAATGAAAATTAATTTCCTTTTAGGAATTTCTATAATATATATACTAAAGTTTTTTCGATAAAAAATATATTTTAGTTATTTTGATTAAAACTACGAATAAACTATTAATGATTATATTCATGAAAAGAACAATAAATCATTATTTTATATAAAAATTATGAATCTTTAATGTTTTATTCTCTATTCAAATGATCTTTTGACAGTAGAGGAAATTGATCATTTGATCGAGTATTTTAGCTAATGGATCATTGACATGAAAATAAAAACAAATGACAAATAAGAATATTTATCTACATATATATGAATGAACAGAAAAAAGAAAAATTCAACATAGATATATCTTTTCATTTCATTTTGTTAACTTTTTTCTTTATAATAAATTAATTGATTTATGAATTAAATTATTTTGTTTTTTTTTTTTGGATTAAAAATATAAAAATCTATCTATGAAAATCATCTTTTATTGATATATATATAATGAAGTTAATTTATTATTATTGATATTATAGAGATAATAATCTGAAATAAAATTTCTTTGATCTTGATTTATTCTCTTGATAAAATGACATTGTTTTATTTTTGTTTGTTGATTGATATGTTATATAAAAGAATTTGCTTAGAATATATTTCACAATAATCTTTGTTTTCCGGTTTCTTATATTTCTTTTGACAGAATCATAAATAAAATTCTTTTCACATCATATTAATTTATGTTGTTTTATTCATAGATAATTTATCATTTATCAAATATTATCTTGGAAATTACGTATCTAGACGAACAATTTTAATATTATTTTTTATTTTATAGAATTTTAAATTAATATAAAAATATCGTTTGTTATGTTATATACCAACCATAATATAGAAACTAATTGAGTCAATTTATAGAGGATTTCAATCAATTCATTATTTTATCGATTTCATGGAATATTTTGTTCTTAAACTGAAAAGAATCTATTTACGACGTTTCTCGACAACTTATTAAAATATCAACAAGTATTCGTAAGATTTACACATATAACTTATTCTATTAATAAGAAAGGCCTCGGATCTCTCAAGGGTTGTTTTCTATTCAGGTACTATTGTGTTTTGTGGCACTGCAAAGTATAAAAGTATACTTGATTTGAAGCAGTACTCAAAAATGTTCTTTCGTATCGGTGAATATAAATTCAGATGTCACTAGATTGGTTTTTGATAATTAGTTTTTCTCTTTTTTTGGCTTTACTTAGAATAACCACATTTTGTTTACCTTATATTTTCTCTTTCTTAATTGGTTTATCATCTATTTTCTGGTAATGAAGTTCAATATGACATTTTCTTTCGTTCTTTTGTTTCTTATATATATATATATATATATATTTATTAATATAAGCGCTTATTATTTATTTATTTTTTTCTTCTGTTCTATGTGAATGTTCTTGCAGACATGTTCTGACTCATAAATATTTCTTTTTTCCTTCTTATTCTTATTTACATAGAGATTATTTTGCGAAGAGAATAGTTCATTTTTTGTTTTTTATTATTCTAATTGTTCTAACTCTAGAAAATCTTTTAATGGCTATGTCAGATAACGATTTTAATAAATTCGACATACTATCGGATAAAGATTTTTTGAAATTAGTTCAAAGATTATATGAAAATGTAAGTAAAAATTATTTTTATTTTTTATTATTTATTTTATCTATTTATCTATCTATCTATATATATAGAATATAAATAAATCAATATATCATGATTTCGATTTGGATAAAAAACAAAAATTTATTAGAGAAATTTTTACACGTTTACATTTATTTGATTCAAATTCAATTAATCTTTGCTTAAAAACATTATGTTTATTAATACAAGAACGTGAAGAAGTTGATGTAAAAAAAAAACAAATGACTTGTTTTACTTTTTCTTTTTCTTTTTCTATTTAATTTATCTTTATTTATTTTGTCAGGTTTTTGTGGGATCATCGGTGCTTGAATTATTACAAAAATTATCAGGTCTTGAATCTAATAAAGTTGATGTTAATCCTATAGATATACAAAGTAACATTGAATTTAAAATCAATATTTAATTTTTATTAATATCGCATATATTTAGGTACAATTGAAGCAGAAAAGTTCATGTCTTATTTAATTTCTATGAGCCCTAAAGTAGAAAAATTCTATAGTGCTAGTGGTGTTGCTGATGCTATAACACATCGTATTAAAGAAACAACAGAAACAAAATTAAATGATGTTATAAGATTTTTCGATATGCGTATGCTTTTTCTCTTAACTGCTTTAAATCCTGATATGAGGTAAATATTTATTTTTGTTTTGAATTTCTAATTTTTCAAATTAAATTTATTTTAGACAACGTGTTCGAGAAAAATTTCATGGACTTTCATATTTATTTGAAATAATTAATCAAATTATGTTATCAAAAAGTGATTTAATTGCTTCAGCTGATTCGGGTTAGTTTTTGAAAGTAAAAATCAAAAAATATATTTCTATGTAAAAGAAAAAACGATAAATAGTTCATTAAGTATGAAAATCAATAAGAAAATATAAATTAAATTAATTGATAATTAAAGTAGATTTATAGTAATTTTTATTGTTCTACTTCATAATAAAGTTTAATCTTAAAAAAATGTCGAAGAGTACTAACAATCTAAATGAGTTTGTATTTCAAACTTGGTTTAACGTGTTTTATTTTTTTCTTTTGTATATTATATGTTTATCATAAAGTTAGTATGAAGAAAATTTTTATTTTTATTTGTTTTTTATGTTATTAAGAAAGAAAATATTTTTGAAAATGATATTTTATTATGTTTAGGTATTATTTTATCGAATTCTGATATTGATTATTTAATTGAAATATTAAAAACTCTTTATAATTTAACATATTCATATACAATACAAGAAGAAGAAGAAGAAGCTCATTTAATGAGATTAGTTAGTATACTTCGAGAATTAATTTTATGTTATGAAACAAAAGATGAAAAAAAAATTGAATTACAAAAGTAAATTTTCTTTTTTTTTTTTATTAAATTTGATATATGTATATTAATTTAGACATATTATTAATCTTTTAACAAATTTACCAAGTATATGTTATGAAGAATTACTTTCACCAATTGTACCTGAAGATGAAAATGAATATGATGAACATGATGGAAAAAATATGAAAGCTATTTATATTATTCTTCAATTTCTTGATTATCAAATTACAAAAAATGATGTATTAAAAAAAAAATTACGAATATTTCAAAATTATTTGTTTTTTGTTTTTTTGTTATGAATTTTTTCTAGGGAACAAAAAATGCTAAAGAAGCTTTATCGCCCGTTCTTGAACTTCTTATATCTATGTGTCAATCAAATAGAACAATTAGAAAATATTGTCAACAATATATTTTATCATCACTTAGTCAAGAAGTTTTCGATTCATCAACTGACGAACAAACATTAAGAAACAAGTAACATTTACAATGAAAAAGAAAAGAAAAAGCATTTGAATCATGTCCTTCTTTCCGATTAATAATTTTATTCACAGAATCATTAACTTCATTTGCCAAGATTCTTGAATATCGAATAGAAAGCTAAACATACAAATCAGAAATTCGACTAAGACGAAAAAACTCAGACCGAGATTGTTAATAGTCTGTAGGGATGAAAACGGCAAAAAAATGCTCTATACTCCAAGTACCAAATTTACCATGAAACTTAAAAAAACTGGCAATTAGTCGGACATTTTAGTAGGTTTCCGCCTCATTCGAGAAGCCTATTTCAGATTACAATCATATTGGAAACCTAACTTAGACTAAGGTCAGGATTCGGAATCCAATCGAAGTCAGAATTTATACTTAACTCAAATCTAAACACAAATATATATTTATATTAAGACTGAAACTAAAATTGAATTTTCATTCACTCCGAGTCAAATAGAAACCGAAATTTTCTTAATAAGTCTTTAGTCTTATATTCGTATGCAAATTACTGTAGTCTTCAGTAAAGTAGATTCGATAAACTTTTCTGAAAATTTCTATGATTAAAATTTTCTAATACTTCTAGACTAACACGTCAAATGACAAATCCAAATTCTGAATTAAAAACTTTATCAGCTAAATTATTATTTGTTCTTTGTAAAGAAAATGGTAATGATTAAATATTTAATGATTAAATCATATTAATATATTTATTTTTAGTTAATTGTTTGATAAAATATACAGGTTGTGAAAATGCAGTTATGCTCTTACGTGATTTTGGTATACTTAATTTAAAAGATAAATCAAATAAAGATCAATATTCAAGTGATTCGGATGAATCTGATTCAGAAAATTATCAAACAATAATTGATCGATATAAGTAAGTTATTTTCATATTATTTATTTTTATTTTTTTTTTTTTTACTTAAAAGATTTGATCCAACAAATCGAACAAATATAGAATTATCAGAAGATCAAATTCAACATTATTCATTTGAACGATCAACAATTGAAACAGAAAAAAGTCTTCATAATTTCAATTGTGTTATTGAGTAATAATTTTTTCTTTAGTATTATTATTATTATTATTATTTTGTTAAATATTTTATTATAGTTATGATAAAATAAAAACAATGATTAATGATCCAAATGAAAAATTAATTCCATTTGAAAATGATCGTGAACTTCATGAAACTAATTTTAATTTAAAACAATCTTGTTCAAATATTCTTAATTCTTCTGAATCAAGTGATGATGAAGATCATTTAATAACAACGAAAAAAACATAAAATAATACATTTTCTATCTATTTATCTCTCTCTCTCTCTCTAATATATGTCTATGTATGCGAATATTGTCTTGTGTATTAAATTTAAAATATTTCTATTTTTATTTTTCATTGGCTTATGTTTACGTAAGGTAAAGTTTTCTGTTTTGTTTGGAGGGATAAAAAATGATATATATTTAACAAAAAATAAATTAATTAAAACTGAAAGACTATTATAAACTGTTATTTAATAATAAATCTATTTTCTAGGACAACAATAAAGATCTGCGCATAATTACACTTTGTCAACTTTGAAAAAATTTGTTTTTTTTTCCTGTAGATCAGCGACAGTTTACATATTCGATGACATATTATGTAGTTTAATATCGCATGAGAATGACGAAAGTAGAGATATTCAATGATGTTTCATTTACTAGAAGTTAAAGTCATTAAAAATAAAATGTTACATAAGAAAAGAAGTTTTTAAGAGTTTATATTATTTTTCATAAATTGTAACGTAGTCGAAGTAGGACTCTAAACAATACTCAGTCAATTGCGTATTATATTCTTGCACGCGAGAAGAAGTATGCACCAGAGATGAAATTGATTCGGTTCGCGAACTAATCGCGTGAGCGTGATCACATGAGTATTGTACACTAACACATTGTTAATTCATCTCTCATTAATCATTACATTGTCATATCACTTTTTTTTATTTCAAATAGAATTTAAAAAAAGAGAAGAAAAAAAAACATACCATATGTATATCTTCGAAAACATCCGATCTCTTTCATATAGAGTTATATACTAATGATGTTTATCTTCTTCGAAAGAGAGAAAAACAGAAAAATCAAGAACCAAAAAATATAATACATGACAGAAAAAAGAAACAGACAAGACAGAACAAACTATCTATCTAAAGATGTATCAGAGCCATCGGCTATGACATCCACCCACACATCATTTCAAAGACAGCTGGGAACTTCCTGTCGTCAGTTTTGAGAGGATGACACCATACGGTTATTAAGAGAAAACATAACTCAAGTAACTATACAGTTGAAATAAACAAAAATCATTCACTCATATACACTTTGTTATAAAGATATGGCATTAAATGAATAGTAATATTGTTCAAAAACAAGAAAAATGATATTTTATAATCAATTGAATGTGATTTACAATCTGAATGGATCAAAGATATTTTTTTGATAGAAAAAACTGTTTATTGAGAAAATGGATTTGTGGAACTCTAATTTCCGCTCTTGTATTAATGTTGAGAATCAACATGACCAATTATCTCCAACCCATTAGATTTACAAAACAAAACACAATGATTAGACGGTTAAAAGATTTTCTTCTTAGTACGATGTACAATATAAAGATTCGAATCATTTTTATATCTCTATATCGGAAATGAGTAGTCAAGAACAAACAATTCAAAAAATATTCTGATTTATTCATTGAATTATTCTGTTTATTAATTATACTTGAAAAGAATATGTTTTTCAGCTTTATTTAATCTTAAAGTTTGAATGAAATTAAGAGTCATTCATAAGTTTTATATCCGACAATTGTCCAAATGTCATTGTATACAGGAAGTGACTATATGATGTTCTGGGTACTCTGACCTTCATAGAAATAAGAAAAAATAAATATTTTTCTATAAAAAAAATTCTCTATTATTTTGTATATTGTTTTTCTATTCAAGCTTATTCTAGGCTACAGAAGTGTGATGGTTTTATATCATTGTACATAATAAAGAAAGTGTCTATCATGAAATGTCGACAGCAGAAGTATACCAACTGAAAGATTTACAGACAAATGAATCAGATTTTTCAACAGGATCATATCCAACCGTTAAAATGTTCTATTTACATTTCTTTCTTTTCTCAGATAAATGTGTTCTTTGCGTACATTTGGCTTAAAAATGTCATTTTTTGCTAACTGCCAACTATGTAACATAGCAAGGATACAACACAGAAACGTCAAATTTAGTGTTACTGTGATAGACTACAAGAAGAATACAATTAAAAATCCGCATTCATTGTTAATGTCAATCGAGTTTATTAGATGTCTTCTATAGGTTTTATTTAACAGACAATGGTTAATATGATTATAGATTAAGTAAAAGAATAAGAAATTGCACTCAATTTCTCGTATGCTTATTTTATTGAGTTTTTATTATCTGATGTAATCTATAATAAAATTGACCTTTGTCTATTTAGTAAAAATCATGACAAAGACTAAATAAACAGAAGTAGCTAAAATGTCACACTACATTATAATGCTGAAAAACGTTAACTTTTCTCAGAATTCTGTGACAATAAATCTGATTATCAAGAAAATTTCTTATATGAATGATACCTTAGGTCATAATCGCTAAAACTGGAATATGTTTATGAAAGACAATATTACGATAGATGAAGAAATGAAATACATTTAGCAGACATTCATACTTTATTTTATAAAACGAACTTCTACATGATTCTACCATTAAATCTACATTTTTTGCACTTAATATTTATGTTTGTTTCCATATTTCTTTAACAAAAAAGGTTTCGAACAATTTTCAACATTTATCTATATTATGGGTAATAACATGACCACTTGATTTAAACAATATACGAAATAAAATTTTCTATTGAAAACTATTCTGACTAACAACATTTGTTAGTCAGCCATCTTCACTAATACAGTTAGTAATAGTTGACTTCCGATCAACCCGTCTATATTAAATTTATGTATGGTGTTGTGTAATAGCATCATACAATTATAATGATCTATCGCGAAATATCGCTGAATTTTCAGTGAGAATTGTAATCCGTTTTTTTATTTCTATTCATCAATAAGCTGATGGTTGACTCAACATTATTTGACTTTTCTCATGTTAAAATAATGATGTATAATGCGTTCTGTTTTACTGTAAGAAAGAAAAGTCTCAGATATAATATCATGATAAGTTCAATGTGAATTATTGCGTATAACGTGTCATATCATCTCTATAGTTGTATTTATAAGCTCGAAAAGCAGACGATCAAATCAATATCTATTATTCACATTTTCTTTTCTTTTACGAAAATGTTTCACTCATCTTCTAACTATCAAATACGATGAAATGTTAGATCCCAATGTTGTTGAACATTCCTTCTGAATGATCTTTGCATTTATTCCGAAAATAGTCCAAATTTGAATATAATATCGATCGAATTCATTTTTCATTTATAATTTAATTATATTTGAGAAAATATTACAATCAAACTCAAAATAGTTTTATTATATATATATATATTTATAGACAATACATAGTAATATTTATTCATGCAAAAGACTCCTAAATACTTACTCATTTATTAAATTCTCAGCAATACTAGTCACATGTACCCATCGAAGAGGAAAATAACGCTGTAAGTAGAAATTTCTCAGCTTGTTTTTTTCTTTGTAAAGTAAATTCCATTTAATGTTAGTTACAGCTTTTGAAAACTTTGATCAAAGTTTCCTGACATTGAAAAATCTGTGTTACCAACTTATTTCTTCATCAATTCGGATTCAACGCACTTTTCTTTACTCGAAAACAGGCTCAGCATAATGTAGTCCGAATCATCTAAGAGAGGATTCTCTGATTAATCGAGACAAAAGTATATTTTGCTCGTACTGGGGTAAAGCAAAAGTTTGTTGAGGAACTAATATAAAACTAAAGATTCTTCGATATTAGAAAGTTTTGACGTTCAGCAAGGACGTCACATCCGCTTCTTTTGAAATTCATTCGTACGATGTTCCCTGCTTTTAAAAGTTATTCAATCAGTACTTCTGTTGTTTTCTGAGATTTAATTAGAGATCTACAGGGAACGCCGAAACTCGATTATGACTTCGATTCCACCGAAGTCAAAATTGTAACCACCTCAGATAATTTTTTTCTTTTGCATATACCAAAACTTCATTCTTTATATTAATAAACAAAAAGCATAAACAATAATATGTGACGACACATCAATTAATAAAGACATTAATCGAAGAAGATATTAATGTCGTTGAAAAATACCGTAATTGTCTACATTGTCCATTCTTGATTATTTAGATAGAGAACATTTCAAACAGAAAAATAGGTACAAAAAAAAATGCATTTTTAGGAATAGAGAAGTGTGACCTTTTCAAAATATTCAAAAAAGAATTCTGTTCGAGAAAACACGAATTTGAAGATGATAACATCCATAAACTGACTTCATTTTCAAGAAAAAATATGACTTTTCTAACCTAAACAGAACATATTCTTAGTACGTTAAATGAAATCTTCTTCGTTCGGAATGCTTAATCTTCAAATGACATTGACAGGAAATTTCGGAGTTGGACTTAAAGCAGAATTTTAAAAAAAAAGTTGACTTCAAAGATCTCTGGACTCAACTATTGTGATCCTGCTGTCTTCAGTGCTGAGTTACGCCTTTGACGAAGGAAATTCTTCGAATATCAAGTCACTTTCCAACCGAAGTGATGTTATTTTGATGATTAATAGAAAAATTTCGAATGATTTTGTTTTTTCGAACCTTCGTTCTTGAAATATCGAAAATTCTCTGGGTTTTTCAATAAAAAGCTTGAACTATGTGAAAAATTGAGTTTTGACTTCAAAGTTTACACGAACAAACTTCTCAATAAGATTAGTTTATTAGATAATTTCTAACTTTTGTAGTATCTTCTATGTTGAAGTTAGGCATGTACCGAGCTTTTTTTGCGTTATTTTCGATTTTTTTTGTATTAAAGCTGAAGCTGCGAAATAAAAAGCTGAATCGTGTAATCCAACATATCAAAAGATAGAGAAAATTTTACTCTATCAGATGAGACATACCTCATATCTGTGCAGCAATTCTTTTGGTTTTTGTGANTCAATGTTGTAATATAAAAGTATTGAAAAATAACGAAAAAAAGCTCGGTACATGCCTAGTTGAAGTATTCATATATTTACAGCTCAAGAAAGAAAATGCTAGTTATACAATCAACTAATTTCATTAAGAATTTTGTCTATGTAAAGTTTGAAGGTCTGAAAAAGTAATTCATTTGGTTTTTGTGAGAACTTTACAAACTGAGCCTGACCGAGCTTAGGTTCGGTGCTCGGGCTCGGTCGAGACATTTTTTTGCACTGAAAATAAAAATTAGAATAACTGCAACACAGAACTCTGGAACGTCTCATTTTGTAGTGAAATCTTTTCTCTATCTTTTGATAGGTTCGGTCACAACATTCAGTCTTTTCATTTCAGAGGTCAATGTTGTAATATAAAAGTATTGAAAAATAACGAAAAAAAGCTCGGTACATGCCTAGTTGAAGTATTCATATATTTACAGCTCAAGAAAGAAAATGCTAGTTATACAATCAACTAATTTCATTAAGAATTTTGTCTATGTAAAGTTTGAAGGTCTGAAAAAGTAATTCATTTTGGATTTTTCTATTAATCATTAAATAAACATTGTTTCCGTCCAAAAAATGATATGATACCAATTCTCTCATCAATTTGATTGTATAATATATAATATTATTCCTAAAATATTTCGATGAAAAAAATTACAATAAAAACTTTAGACAAAAGAATAATTTGATTAAGAATTTTTGATTAGATAAATTTCTATTATTTCAAATTAATGAAATATGTCCCGCAGAATCATTTCTCAACTGACAACTAAGATTTTTCTTTTGTATTTAATTTTTTCAATTGTAATATTGAGAATTTAAATTAAGAAGAAAGTAGCAGAAAGTTTTGTAATGAAGTCTACTGTTTTTCTTCTTAATTTAAATCAAACTCATTTGATTATTGAATAATCTAATAATAAAATTATCAAATTATTTTCATGATTTTATTTAATCAACCAAAAACGAAAGCAAAAACTACAAGACATGAATATTAATATCACGTAATGAATATATTTTACAACTTGTTAAAACAAAAATTATGCTTAAGGCTTATAAATATAAGCATAAATGTTCTTTGTTGTCAATCATTTCATCAATAAATGTATCGATCTTCAATGGAAAAAAAAGAAGTTCTTATAATTATCCATTGTTATTAAAAATAAAAAATATTTTTCTTTTGTTCATTATATCGATTTATTATCAATTAACCATAGGAAAATCTTTATTTATATACAAACTTATGTTTTCGGTATTCGATTGTGTAAAGTTGAAGATGACAAATTTGTTGTTTGTTGATGTTGAGTACTGGGAAGTGAAGATGATTTGGAAAAAAAAGAACGTAAACGTGCTAATCGATTATTATGTGTATTAGTTTGCTTTCTATTTGATTTATTATTGGTTAATTGATTATTAATCGTTGTATTAACAAAATTTTTCTTATCATTTGATAATTCATTTGTTGTACATGATGAATCTATGGAACTAAAATAAAAAAATTTAAAATGACTGAATAATTATTTTCTTCAATAATCGATCCAATTGAAATATCGAAAGTAACCGATTTTTTATCTATCAATTTCTTTTTAGTGTACTGAAGATAAATGGTACGTATTTGAATGATTTGCTCATAGTTTTAGAAATCCAGAAATATGAATTCGAAAATTTTCAACCAAAAAAATTTTTTATTTTTATTAAAATTTCAGGTTTTTATTTTTGAGATTAGATGATAATGTCGGTGTATGAGTGGTCTACTGAGACTTATCCTGATCTATCTAACTTCAACAAGATTCTACATATATAAAAATAAATATTTTAACGTTATTTATTTTTTTTTTCTACATAATAATCGTGCATAGTTATTCTGTTGGATTCAATAAACAAAGCGCATCTGTGTTAGCTCATAAATAAGTTGGAATGGAAAATTTTGCTTTTTCAGAAAACTATCAAAAACAAATATTATCAAAGCGAATAATACTGACAGACAAATGAAGAGAATCGATTCGAGGTAGTTTTCTTTCTCGCCCTTTAATGAACATATCGAATTTCTTGCATGAATAATAAATAATGTTTTTTTGTTATTGCAAATGTTCTCCAATTTATGTTTTGTATTTCATCTGAAATATGATATATAATTCATTTATGACTATATTTTGGCTTTTCATATATTTTGTGAACATGCAACAAGTAAACCAAAAATAAATATTTTCCAAAATTATGAAATTAATGTTCGAGGAAAAAATTTTTAAAATAGTTCTTCAAATAATCTTTAATAACCATCAGTCTTACTTATAATCGCGACTTTACCTTGTCCTATTCGATTAAAATTTTTTCTGAAAACACTTAGGAAAAAGTCTTAGAAATGTTCTTAAGCTTTTTAAAAAGTATCAATCTCTTGATTTTTAATTAAAACAAAAGAAGAATATGAAAAGCAGCAACTGGAAAAATTGACGCTTGTCGCACTTTTTTTTTTTTATAATTAAAAATCAAGAGATTAATATTTTTCAACAACTCTGAAGCTTTATTGAAAAAAAGTAAGACGAGAATCGTAAGCAAAAATTATAATGTTTATATATATATATATTTGTTTTAATTTGAAATATTTAAAAAACTTACAGATGTTTAATAAGTGGTATTGAATGATTTTCATTTTGAGTATCTTCATCATCTTCTTCTTGTACAATATCATTTGTTCGATATTTTGTTAAATTATTATTTGTATTAAATAATGATAATGATGAATTATTAGGAGTAAATATTTTTTTAGAATTTTTATCTATTTGTGATTTATTATGCATAATTAATTCTTGATTAGTTATATAATAAATTGATGAAGATAAATTTGTTGTTAATGGTAATGATATTTTTGATGTTGAATAAAATAAACGATCACGAATTGATTTTGAATACATCCAAGAATTTTCTTTATCACCTTTTTCTCTTAATATTTCTGTTGTACTATAATTATGATGACATTTTTTACCATTAACATAAACAGGTACAAATACAAAACGATAATCAACATAACGTTCTTCAAAATGTTTTCGTAAATCTTCAGTATAAATCCATGAATTTGTTGTTGATGATGAAACTTTTTCAATTGAATTTTCTTTTCGTGATATATTTACTCGTTGAGATGTTGTTTTTGTTGCTGCTGTTGCCGCAACAGTATTGTTGGCTGTTTCAAAAGCCAATAGACCATAGAAAAGAACCATCAAGGGTATCGAATATTGAATAAATAAGAATGTCTACGACTAACTCAAGAGTTTGTTTATGAATGATGAGAAAAAAGAATATGTTTGTTAATATGATGATTAATCTAATTTAAATAAGTTAATATGAACCGAACATCTAGAATATACACAAAACAAAACAAAAAACCCGAACATAAGATAATGTCACATTCTATCTCATCATTATTTTATTAAAACATATTTGATGTTGATTATAATTATGATTAATCAATGTGTTATTTAAGAATAAGAAGTAAAAGAATCCTGATAAGTATTTATTTAATGAATATAGAAAGCTAAAAGAATGCACTCGAGTTTTATCTTCATAGGCAAAGTCAACTAATCTATGTCATTTTCAAAATGAATCTTAAATAATAAACATATTTTCAAGATCTTTATATATTCAACAAATGAATGAAAACAAATGTGAATGACAGTTCGACAAATCTAATCCGTATTCTGTTTTTTTTTCTTCTCTGGTTGGTAAATCTTTTCATGTGAAAGCAATAGGATATGGATGTCTTAGGAGATTAATGTATTATATGCATTCAATAATGAGAAACATTTTTAAGTTGCACTCAGATCGAGTATCCAAAGCGGAGTATAAACAATAGTTTACAGTTGATCGTAATAGAGTACATTCTAATCGTGTGTTATTTAACATGTGCGATAGATTATGTTTAGAAATGAAAAGAGGAAAAGATCGTAAAGTAAAGTAAAGTAAAGTAAAGTAAAGTAGAATAGAATTGTTTATTAATATAAAATAGGGTAATATTGAATATTTTTGTCAATAATAAATGCGAGTTATTTAGTAAGAAAAACATATAAAATAAAAGAAGTTTTTAAAAAAATAGAAATAAGACTCTATTGATCAATAATAAATAATTTTTCGTCTCAACAAAGATAAATAACATTATAGAAAAAGAAAATCTAATAATAAACCGATAGTCGACATTTTTAGTAATGGATATTCTGTGTATCATCTAATCGGATAATTGTAAAAATGTGTATCATCTCAATAATAACGACTTGTCTTGCTTTTTCTTTTTTCTTTTTTCTTCTTATTTAGTTGTCAAGTAAATCTAGACCTTGATTCTTGTTGAGACATCATCAAGAGCGGTGCTCTTTGACATTTCCTTTCTTTTTTATTTTTTTTTTTATTTTGTCTTTTTCTTTGAACGAGAATAAAGCTTTTCAATAGCATTAATAATTTGTTCATTTCCTTGACAATATTTTTCTTTAAATCTACTATGATAAAACTTTATGCTAATTTAATGTTATTTCATCGTGAACATTGTTTAAATAAAAATGTCATTTAAATAACATATACTTGATTATTTTTCACTTGATAGATTATGTTGAAATCAAGCATTTAACTATGTCAGAAGAATTTTTCGATGTTTCCGTTGGAGATTTTTACTTGATTTTTAAAATTATCAAGAATATTTTCACTTCATTGAATATCAAAACAAAAAACTCATTTTGAATATAGAAATAAGAATTTTGATAAATTCACTTAGATTTAATTGTTTTGTTTTTAGCGAGCGACGAAGATTTTCAATCGTTGATCTAGCATAATGTAATGACTAAACAATGTACTCTTATCAATCAGTTATAAGAGTTTTTCAATGTATTTTCATATGAGTTTGTTTTTTTCGCAGAAAAATCTCGAACACACAAAGCTCTTGGAAATTCATTATCAATGACAAAGACAAAGAAAAATAGTTTATATTTTCAGGCTGAATTGTAAACATATTTCTCAAGTAAAAACAAATATTTCATCTTATCTATTATGTTTGTGTTGTTTACATAACGTCAATTAAATGTTCTATATAAATATAAACACTACTTGGTATTTTTACTCAATCATAAGTCATATCATTGGTCTTTGATTGTAATGATTTATTAAAAACAAAAATAAATGAAGAATCTATTTTAAGTGCTGTTGTGTTATTGAAACTGAAATATTCTTAAATCATATGTTGGATTAAATTCTGACTACTATTGTCAAGTGTCCAAACATGTTTGATATACAATAGAAACGACATTTTAATTCTAACTATATCAACAAGCTAATAAAAATGATCAAATATAAATTTGACTTTGATTAGATTCGTATGACATAAGCGAAAAAAACAATATGAAACTTATTTTTGTTTTTTTTCTTTCCCTTAAAAATACGTTTCCTCTACCTATTTCACCTGGTTCGTATTCATTGATTATTTTATGATGACTCAAATAAATATATATCAATAACAAATTATATGAATAATTCGCCAGTTAATATTTGTTTTTACGTATGATTCGTCTCTAAAACACTGACTAACTACGCTTATTCGTATATAATAACAAAGGGTAAAGTATAATATTTGATAAAACTTCTTAAGCGCCATTTTTTAATCTTTTTCATCATTCTCTATTATTAATTTCTTTAAATATTTATTAACATTATTTAAAGTAACTTATTATACTCGTGTGAACATATTAAATATGCATAGTTCTATTAATAATGAAGTACGTTCTTCACATCATTCTGGTAATTTTTCAAATCATTTATCAACAGAAAAATTAAAAGAACATCGAACAACTGATACAACTGAATTACATAATAGAACAAATGTTAATTTATCAAATGAATTTGATGTTCATCGTGTATATGATACATTTATTGCTTCATTACGAGAACCTAATAATCCTAAATCACCTATTGGTACACAAGATTATATTGATGGTTATAGAGAATTATTAAAGTAAATTATTAATAAATACATTAAAAAAAAATTTTTTATTTTTATTTTAAATAGATTCTTTGATCAACTTGGTTATATATTTAAATTTGTTAAAGATGATGTTGTTGATAAATTAGGAATATTACAATCATTTGTTGATAAAGATAAAAAAGGTACAACACATTTTAATACAATACAAAAAGCTATTGATTATGAAACTGAGCAAAATTTAATAAAAACAAATCCACAAAATTTTACTCGAACTTTATTAAGACTTCATCGTGCATTACTTTTTCTTATTGAATTTCTTGGAGGTTTAGCTGATCGACCATTATCAGAAAATACAGCAACGATTGCAACACATTGTTATGATGCAACATTATATAATTATCGTAAGTATTCTAACTATCATTATTATTATATTTAATCAAACAATTGATTATTAAAGATAAATTTAGCATTTAGAAAAAAGATTTCAAAAAAAATGTCGAAGCATTCAAAAATTTTAAGGATTTGAGTATTATCGAAGAGATCGACACACATACCGATATAATATTATGATGTTATGAGTAGAAAAAATATAAATTTGTTAGTCTTTAATTATATTTAAATATCTATTCGCTAACAATATAGCGGTTATAGAGTGCGCATAGTGATTCATGAATTTAGACGTTAATGAAAATTGTTAATAATGAATAATTTACGTCTGAGACGATATTTTTATTTTATGTAGATGATGCCTCGTCAAGACTGATTTAATAGAATTCGTGAAGCTTTGTTTAAAAAAAATAAAATGATCTAAATATAACAGAAGCCCTGAGGCTTCTAATAAATCTTTGACATCGATTCCACTAGAAGAATCTTCTATTTTCGGAAATAGATTATTCAAGTTTTGTCTTATTTTTTTCTTTCTAAGATGTTTTTCTTTATTAGTGCAAATAGTTCGAAATCTTTGCATTATTATTTAAGAGAAGGTGCACTGGTTGCACCTTACTGACTCATGTTAATAAACAAAACACAATAAAATGTAGAGTAAAAGAGTATTTCAAATGTCTCCTTTCGTTCTATTCATTGTTTTTTAAGTTTTCTAATAGAAATTTTAAATGGAAAAAAAAATTTTTTTTGTAAGATCTGCAAATAGTGTTTGAGTCTGTTCATTCAACATGATCTCAATTGAATTCTCATTTTGACAAAGTCAATATTGAAGGATAAACAATGAAATTTTGACTATCAAAGAAAGAGATAAAGTTTAAATTTATATCACACAATGTCCGGATGAAGGTGAATATAAATATAGATAAAGAGAAGAAATATAATTACGCACCTATAATAGTGAAGATAGATTTAGATCAACTGTATTTTTTAGTTTTCTTCTTGATAGTAATAGTTATCGATAATCGGAAAAAAGATTTTTATAACTGAAAAGATTCTCTATTCGAATTGTTAGCTCTGAAGATTTCAATAAAACTGCTCGAATACGAATCTGAAAAAAATCAAGACTTATAAAAAATTAATTTTCTGGTTTCTATTCGAAGTTTTTAGAAAAATATTTCATTTTATTGTGTAAATAATTCTGCGAGAAATGAGAAGTCTTCGAGTTTTCTTCATCGAATTACGTTCAATTTATAAAAGGTCAAAGAGTCATTTTTTTCTTTTTTTCTATTGAAATTTCAATGTTTTGTCATGTTTGACGCTTTGGGACCTTTTTCTAAATTGAATACAATTCGATGACGAAACGTCGAAGATGTCTTATTTCGCTCTATCAAATAAAATTTTTTTCCAAAAGTTTCGAATGAAATGCGGATATTTAGTTTTTGAGGAATTTTGGTTTTTTGAAGATCCTCATCCAAGTTGTTGTGCTAAAGTCTTCGAACCTACCATTCCTAATGGAGAACTCTTTCAGCTACATAAATGTTTTTTTTTCAGATTCTTGAAAACTGTTACCATCGACGAGAAAAATGAAAAATATAGTTGTTCTAAAGTTTTGTCTGCTACTATACACCCACACTCAAATCGAGTTATTTTGAATAATGAATGAATAATAGAAACATCATGTTTTTTGTTCAAGTATTTCAATAAAATACATGTTATTATGTATGTTTAAAATAGTCTTTTTGTGTAAACGTATTCTCTTACTTTCATATGACGTAAATGATGTTACACTTGGCAGTAGCTTTGTTTTTTTTTGTTTCTGAAATTGCTCTGATAGGTTCTAGTTTCATCAAAGCTAAAATTCTCGTCCACTGCAATATATATATATAATATTGTATTATTCTCTTTCGAATTTTTCTTTGATTAATAATAACGATAAAAAAATATTGAATTTTGAATATGATTATTTAATAAATAATTAAAAAAAAAAAATAAAATATATGTTTAGATGGTTTTCTTATTCGTCAATCTGTTAAATTGGGATTTCTAATGTTACCATCACGTCGACAATTAGATGAAGTTATATTTCATGGTCATAAAACTGAATTATTTGAACAATATAAAACATTTATAAAAATTATTAAACAAATATATGATACTATTCAATCATTTTATGCAGAAAAAAAATATTTACAATTACCATAAATTAAAAAATAACTACAATTATTCATTTATATATTTTTATTTTCTGTCTGTCAATAATTCCATTGTATTTTTTAAAATAATTTTTCATTTTTTATTATTATTGTTTATTTGTGATAGAAATCACTAATCATTGTGATGAATAATATCCATTTCTTTTGTTTTATTTTTCTTTTTACTGTGTTATATATCTATTCACTAATCAATGGGAATATTTGAAAATAAAATGCAAAGGATATTAAAGCAACGGTTTTCTTATTATCCAGGGAATCAAATCAATATGGAAATAAAACTAATTTCCGTTATTTTTTTTGGTCTGGAATAATCAATGAGTTGAATCTGTTAACGTCGATTTTCATCTAAATATATATTATAGAAATATATGTAAACCGAGATTAATCGCAGACTGCTTCATCTCATGAGAATGGTCTCATTTCCAGAAAAGTTATAATCTTTGTTCTCAAATTATTTTCAACAGATAGTTTTATGATGTAACATATGTTCTACATTATAAATAGCTATGATTAAATTGCATCTTCATGTTCAATAATCATAGAATACGGAAATCGATAGTCATTATGTTTCACACCGAAAAAGTCATGCAATCTTTTGTTTCTTTCTTCAATTTCCTCAATCTAAAAATAAATTGCTTGACTTCTTTGTTCTACTCTTGCTATTATAACAAATTTTTAAAGAATAGAGAATGAAAAAAACAAAAGTAGGATCTTATGTGTGCGTGTGATTTGAAAAGAAAAAAAAAGCGAGAAAGAGCGACAAAATTAAAACTTGCTAAAAAAATACCAAACCAATTGAAATGAATTAAAATTGAGAACATCAATAATAAACAGCAAAAGAAAGAAAAAAACAAGAAATATAGAAAAGCAAATTATAGAAGATACAAACACATTTGCACACTTAATATAGAAACAGTCAATCTAGAATATAATTTGTTTTTCATGTTGTTATAAATGATGATAAGAAAAAGAAAACCGCACACTTGGTACGATAGGGAAGGGGGAAGCAATGGCAATAGCAAATGACGACAACGAAATACTTGATGAATGTGAATGTCCACAAAAAAGAAGAAAGAAAGAAAAGATAATTGTATATTTTAACAAACAAGAAGCGAAATTGAAATATAGACACGAAAGAGCACAAAAGTTCATCACGTGAATAATAATAAAAGACAGACAGAAAAAAGAAAAAGAAATGAAATATTTCGATAAGAATAATCGAAATGGGACCAAAAAAAGCGAATACGCACACATAATATATCGCCTAGTATTATTATGTTGTTTATATACTAAGCTAAAATAGAATGTTCAATTATAATAATGATAGTAATAATAATACTTGCTCTTGCTTAGAGTGCGGAGAAACACCGACGAAAAAAGAAGGAGAAATTACATAAAACACAAGACAAAACGACAATTAATTGTAAACAAATTTAAAAGACGTTTATGTTCGGGCTGTATTTCCTCCTGCTGCTTGATCACTTGTTGCTGTTTGATCATATCCTTTATTAGCATTTTTTTTGCGTAAAAATAAAATACCCAAACCAATAATAAGAAGAACAACAATAGATGCAGCAATAATTATTATTGGTAACCAATTCATTCCTTTCTTTGGTGGTGGTGATGTTGATGTTTCTGTATCACCACTTATATTTCCTTCAGCATCTGTATTTGAATCACCTGAAGAGCTTGAGGGAGTACCATTTCCACCAGGCTGTTTTTCACCACCTTCTTTACTCTGATGTTGTTCATGGCCTTCTTTATCAGGGTGATGCTCGTGACCTTCTTTATCTTGTTGATTTTCATGACCTTTTTCTTCTTGTTGAGTATCTTCACCTTCATTTACTTTCGCTATTTCACTATCATCACGATTCTCATCTTGACTTTGTCCTGCTTGCGAGTCTAAAAAAATGATAAAAGCAAACAATTAATTTTTGTCTATTCATTTGAAATTTGTCTTAAAGAATATTTTTAAATATTAAGCGAATCTAAAATAAAAATTACCATCAAATTTGTTATCTCTTAATAAAAAGTCATTAAACTAAATAAATGTTTTTTTTTTTTTCTCAATAAAAGCCTTATACCATCTATGAACGAAACAGGAGTAGTAGTATCATCTCTATATGGTTTCCACTCAAGAGTTGTTGTCATTTTCACTAATTCTACATCATTGTCTTTGTCATATTGATTTGAATAATCCCATTTTGATTGATCACTAGGATTTTTTTCCTCATTTGTATTTTCCCAATGGGATTTATCAGTAGGATTGCTTTCCTCATTTGTATGTTCCCATGGAGATTGATGACTAGGATTTCTTTCCTCATTTGTAGGTTCCCATTGGGATTTATCATCTTGATTATTGTATTGATTCGATGAATCTCTATCACTCGGATAATTGTTTTCAGGTATATTTTCCAATGGAGATTTATAGTTTTGATTATTATAATCATTTGGATAATTCCAGTTTGATTTCTCATCTTGATTATTATTATTATTATTATTATTATTATCTGCACCTGATGGATAATCATATGAATCTGATTTTTGATTATCATCTGTAACAACATTATGGTTTACATCAGAAGAAGTAGGCCATGAAGGATGAGTGTCTGTAATTGTTACATATAACATTGATTTATTTATTTATTTATTTATTTATTTATCTTATTACTTATTATTTCTACAGCTTGTAAAATGCTATAGAATTTTCTAATTAAATATTTAACATACCTGGTCTTTGTTCTCCTTGCCATGGAGCTTGTTCATGACTACCACCAGCTGGTCTTTGACTATCATCATCTGTTGGTGTATGTGGTACAGGTTGTTGTTGTGGCATACCTCTATGAAGTTTATCTCTATCATTAGATTGTACTTGATATGGTTTTGTATAAACTCTTGGTTCACGTTGACGTAAAGCATCTGAACCATCAGAACGACGTATAGTTGGTGGTGCTTTAAATGCATGTATTGATGGATCATAATTATTTCTTATTGTAGTACATGATGAACGTTCACAACCTTGTGGCTCACATGTTGTACGTGCTACAGCTGTATTTAAATAAGCATTTATACATGTACATTCACGACCATTTGGTATAGCTAAAACAAAAATATTATAAAAAAAAAAGAAAATGAATTTATTATTGTTTTTGTTTTTTGTTTTCTTTACCTTGAACAGCAACTTGTCCATTAGCTAATTTTTCAACTAATTGACATTGTTCATCTTCATTTAATTTTTCAATATTTGTTTCAAATTCTTTAACATTTGGTACACTATTTAAAAGTTTTAATGATGGATTTGGTTCTTTAATTGATAATTTTTCTAAATTATTTAAACCATGTAATGCATTTGGATCAATTTCTGTATCAGTTGATATTGATAATGTATGAATATTTGGATATTGATGAAATGCATTTGCTGGTATACGACCAGGACTAAAAACACGTAATTCACCTAAATTTGAATAATTAGGTGGATGTTCAGGATTAAATTCTGTTATATAAAAAGCATTTATAATTAATTCATGTGCTGGATAAACAGGAAAATTTTGTATGGATAATGCACTTGCTTGTTTAGCTAATTCTAACCGACCAATTGTACCTGTAAATGAATGTGATAAATCCGAACGCATATCACCACCACTTAAACGTAAATATTTTATATTTGCACCATCAAATAATTGTTGAAATGTTCCATGAAATGGATATAATGCGTAAAGTTCTAATGTATCAACATGTAAATTTTGAAATAAATGTAAATTTTCACTTGGTGCAACTTCAGGATTATAAATTTCTAATGCCTGAAATATAATATTAAATAAATAAATTAAAATTAAAATTTAGAAAAAAAGAAAAAAAAAAAAAATTTTTTTTTTTTTTTTAAATTTTTACAATTTGTTTTCGTGCATGTGATGGAATATTATCTGGAAATATTCGATTAAATAATCCAGGTGATGATAAATGAAGTCCAGTAAATTTTTCGAATTTAATACGAAATTCATAATTATCTCCATCATTTTTATATAATTCTTTAATTGTTTCAAATGTACGATCATTAACTTGAATATCACGTGTAGCTGATATAACTAATTCAACTGATTGATATTTATGTTTTTCATTTTCTATTATATTTAATGGTGTTGAAAAATCACGATTAGTTGTACATATTACACGGGAAAATGTACATTTACATTCGAAACCTTCAATAGCATTACACGGTGGAGCATCACTTTGTCGACGTTTAAGTGATTTTCGAAGTATTGATGATGTTGATGATAATGATACCAATAATATTAAACTTAATAATACTGTGCGCAACATGCTTTGTTTTTTTTTGCTCGTTTTTTGTTATATTATTTTCAAGGCTATTTTAATTAATTAACAAAAGAAAAAATATTTAACTTTGAAATAAATTTTATTTAATTACCTACGATGAAGAAATGTTGACTATAAGTGAGAGAGCAAATATACTATCTGCACAAATATATTTGAATTGAACTAGGAGAATAGACTATAAATGTCGATCAGTTGGACCGACTGATAAACGAAATCTATAATTGTAAAATAATGAACCATTAGCAAAATAATTACTAATCATAATACAACATACTATGTTCGTTTAAGTGAATAAGTCATTGATGGAAAGAAAAAAAAAAAAAGAAAAGGTTATTGAAACTATCTGAAAAATAAATGAATATTGTTTTAGCGTCTCACCACGTGTTCCTATATATCGGATGATGCAATAGTCTTGAGAATTATATGTCTGGAAAATATAAGAATGAATTTATGTTTATGTGTACGAGTGTTCTGTCTGTCATTTCTCTCTTTCTCTTGATAGTCTTTTTTTTCTCTTATAACACATTGAGAGAACCATTAATGAATAATCAGTCTCTTTCAAAGTTGCTCATATATCGCCTCATATAGGTGGTTAGTCATATTTCGACGGATTGATTACAAGTCGATTATTATTCTTAGTCAACAGGGCATCGGTACAGTCAGAAGACACATATGCTTCGGGCATTGTCAGAGAAGGGTAACATTGAAGAAACAAAACATACAAGTAATAACATTCAACATTTGAAGAGATCGTTGATCATGGTGAATAAATGATGAGAAACAGAAAGAGAGAAAGACAAGAATTCATTCAGACAGCCTTAAAAATTGAAAGTATAAGGGACGTACTTGTCCTTCCTTTTTATGTTCAACGAGCCTGCTTGTCTTCTGGTCTTGATAATGGAGGTAGATGGAATAGGTAAAAAGAAGAAAGTTGAAAATTGAAAGGCGAAGAGGTGGTAAAAAGTAGGGAAAAGAAGAAGGAGAAAAGAAATGTTGCTCCCTTTCTCTCAATTCATCGTTGTCGTCGGCTATTGTAAACAAAAAATTGGCCGTTTGTAGTAATAGGGAAGTTAGGAGATACTCTTCTCTCATTTTTTTTTCTATTCTCTTTTCTCTTTTTTTTTTCTGCTGCTAACACAAATATGTGAATATGGGTATACGCGGTATTTTACATAATAGATTCAGAGAGAAGAACGAGCAAAAAAAGGTGCTGCCGTCTCCGCTGCTGCCGCGTCGACTCTCTCTGTCTCTCTGTCTGTCTGTCTGTCTCTCTCTCTCTCTCTCTCTCTGTTCTCGTTGATGATGGTTACGATTGTAAGTGTAGTGATGATGTTGGTTTGTTGCGGTTACAAACCCGCATACACGCACAAGAAGAGAAAAAACAGAGAATAGTAGAAAGACATCAGTCTTTTCCCTCTCTCTTTCTCCCTGCCTCTCTCTCTCTCTCTCTCTCTCTCTCTTTCTTTCTCTTTCTCTTCACATCTTTCTGCTCTATTAGACGTTCTAGGCATCAAAAAAAAAAAAAAAAAAGGAATGCTGGTGCAACGTTCTTTGTCTATAACTATTGCTCCGGCTGTTTTTAATGCTGCACATGATATTTTCATCTGGACATCAGACAGCCTTCTCATTTCAACAAGTTGAGAAGGAGAAAAGACAACGAAGAAAAGGAAAAAGAGACATAAAAATGAGAGAAATTGCAAACCGCAATAAACTATAAGAGAAGAGAAAGCGTCAATCTCTTGTGGCCAACATAAGACAGCAATGATGAAAGTCTAGATCATCTTCTTATACACAGAAGCCTATTATTTTCAGAAGGACAGTTAACCGAGTTCGCTTCATATCTATCTATCTGTCAGTATCGAATCCTTCTAACTTGCTTGTATTATCGTAAAACGAAGTACACATTAGAAAACCTTGTGAACTTGCCGTCTCGAGGTTAAAACATTTGGACAATGATTATATCAATGTCACTTTTTTTTTTGTCTTGTATAGCTATATGTTTTTCTTTCTCTAAATCTCATCATGAAACTACATCTTATTGTTTTTTAAAACGAATGTGTATGACACCTGTCGTCAACAAATGTGCCTGTATCAAATATTGATGATGATTACCTTTGTTTGCTTCAATAGAACTGGAGCAAAAATTGCTAAATAGAAAAAAAGAAAACCTTCAAAATACGTGCTTGCTGTCTGCATTTATAAGCACAAGTGTCCTCAAAGCTATAATCATGAAAAAAGAAAAAAAAAGACAAAAAGAATAACGAGTTATATGGAAGAGAAAAAAATGCTTCAGCTGCACTATCATTCAGCACAACTTTGGCCTCCAGATATAAAAAAATGAGACGTGCCAATATTTCGTACACAAACACATTGTTAACGTAGTTGCTTATCAGCTTTGTTTGAAAAAGAGTGGAATTTTTCTCACATCACTATTTTATCATAAATGAGTAAAATCAGAAAAAAAATAATGAGAAACAAAAAAAAAAAGAATACGAAATGAAGAAGATGACCTTTGCTTTACATGGATTACCACACGCGACCGAGACATAAAATCAACTACTGATGATACAAAGCGATGATCCATTCACCTCGTATAAATATACTATGTCTTTGGGCGATTATTGCCTGTTGCCATTCTTTTTTTAACGAAGTCTGTTGTCTCTTATCTCGATGCTTCAAAGCAAATATATGTATAAGAGAATGAACGAGAAAAGAATAAGCAGATTAACTATTGTTGTTCTTTACTTATCGACATCTTTATGATTACTATTGAAAAAAGAAACGAGAGACAGACAAAGAGAGAGAGAGAGAGAGAGAGAGAGAGAGAGTATATGGGGAAAGCTAATATTAATTTTCTTCATCTAATATATTTTTTTATTTTTGATCACAAAAAATATGATACAAAATAAAATATCTAATGACCGTCTTATCATAACGTTCGTTTCTTTTTTTCTTTCTTTTCTTTTTACTCTAGTTACATATCTACAACGACACTTTTCTCAAGGGTAACACAAGGTTTTCGTAGTTCAATTATGAAGAAATACTTCTATGATCTATACAGACATGTCGAGCGATGAAATGGAAGAATTGTCTATTCTTTAGGTTTTTTTTTCTCCTTACTGATCTCATATACTTGAAAAGACACATGTTCATCAGGGATTTGATGGACAAGAAAATGTCTTTCATATGAGATGGACAATGACAAATAATAAGGCTACGACAAACATCTTAATTATAATTATTTACCTCGTCAAATACCCATATAATACAATAGTATTCTCTTGCTTCATCAGTCTCCAATATATTCATTATATATACATATTAATGTAACATGATAGATAAAAATCAAATGACAAGAGAGAAGGAGAGAGAGAGAGAGAGAGAGAGAGAAAGAAAAGAAAAAGGAAGCTTGAGCGACTCCCAATCGAGCTCTCTTTCTATTTATGATGTCAACGGAAACCAAATTTTTCTTTTTTTAGTGACAGTTATCGAGGCGAAAAAACTTAATCATGATGCTTTTCGTCGTCGTAAGGATGTCTCCTCTCTTATAGTCTTCGAGTACTTTATTGATAAACAAGAACATTCCAACCATTCTACTGTCATCCTATCCAATTATAATAATAAATAAACTCATCGAATTTTTTTTTTCCGTCATATTTCAAACTTTCAAAAGTTAATTTATAAAAGAAAAAGAAAAAGAAGAAGAAGAAGAAGAAGAAGAAAAAATGCCGTCATTTGTTTCATGTTTATTATATAGTGAGAAAAGAAAAAAGAGACCTTCACCTTCTTTTATAACGGTCGAAGGACAATGATGACAATTACTGACAGTGAACGTCAAGTAGAAATGAATAGAAAAAAAATTAAAGGAGAAATAAAGACTCAGCTGAATGAAATATTCAAATGTAAAATATAGGATTAACACAATTAGATCCTATTAGGCTTCATTTTTTTGCTATTTTTTTTTCATTTAATGACATATATTGTGAAATGATGTGTATTAAACAAAATATAATGTATTGCGCTACAATGAGAAATTCAGAACGGTAAAATGACTTACTCTTCACGACATCCGAGTGTAAATATACGTACGGACAGAAGAAGGACAAGTACGACGAGTTAGTATGCGCAGAATGAGCTTTGTGCGCGCCTCGGCGACTGTCCTTGGAGAGTAGCGAACAAGAGAGCGAGGAAATCATAGCACGAACACAGGACGACGGTGGTTGGTCGCTCTTTTTTCTTCTGTCTCTTCATCATATATGCGTACGTGTCACGATTTTTTTTAAGACTAGCAATGGAGACGTACACGCACACTCAAGGGAGATACGGAGACGAAGAGAGAGAAAGAAAAGTAGTATAGAGACCTATTTCATCTATCAGGAGCATTTGACACGTCGTTATTTATAAATAAATAAATAGCTCCTACCAAGGCTTCATTTTAAATCAAGTAACAGACAAGCTGTGCTCACAAAAATGTGATGCCGATATGAAGATTTAATTATTTAATCGTGTCATTTCTTCTTTTCCTGTTAAATCTTATCTTCATAAAAAAACTGAATAGAAATTTGATTCGATCGATAAGTTAAAAAACAAAATTCTCAAAATCTTAAAAGTAACTCTATCCGTTTGTTCAATATTGCTCTTCACCTATTCCTATTAGTGAGCTGGTTTTTTTATGCATTTGAAAAAAAACTCTTTTTCTTTCCTTTTCTTTCCATGTTCATGAAAAATCTTCTCCTTTTTATTCGACAAATACTTTTTTCTCGCTATTTTTTTTCTGACGAATTATTTCTCATACACGTCCGTCAAGTAAACTCTTCGCATGCATGCATTTGAATGCTTAAAGAAGTTCTAAAATCTAAAAAAAAGGAAAGAAAAATAATAACATGTCTAGCCCAATAGAACAATGATGAGAATAATTCCGTATTAAAATAAGTCGCATAAGCACTTGTCAAAAAAGAAGAAAAATGTGTATAGCACCCGAAAAAAATAGAAGAATCGAGTTCCGGAGAATGATTTGACTGGCATTGACTATGTAGGCTTGTTTAGATCAAACTCGATGATAATAAAATAGTCTTTTTCTTCTTTTCCTTTTCCGTTTATTGTTATTTTTTTTTCTGGTGAAGCGAGAAAAGAAAATCACGATAGAAAAAAAAGAAGAAGAAAATATAAAGCTAGTCTCTCTTTTCCGGATAGATTGACTAGTTTATATCGATTAAATTTTGACGAGTGTCTAAAAGAGTTCAATCTGGATCAAAGCACGCATGAATACTGGCGGCAAATCAGTGTGATGATTTGCAAATTGAGTTCTTTTCGCTCTCTCAATTCGATCTCTAATTCTAGCCAACAAGCAAAAAAAACAGCACAGAACAGAATAATTTTCCTCAAATAAAAATTCCATCTCGATGATTGATCATCTATTCTTTTTCCATCTTTCTAACCTAGGTTCAATCATCAATATATAAATATATATATATCCATATATATATGCAATGGGTCACTAATTAATCTTCTATAGAGATAATCGACACTAAGAGTATAAGACAATAATAATAAATGGACGACGGAGAACCAAATAACCGAATAACACAACAGAAAAAAAATTGCCTAACACTTATTGAATATGAACAATGAAGGGAAAAAAACGAAAGAAACGTTGTCATCATTATTCTTTTTTTTTCCTCTTATTTTATTTGCCAATATAGAAACAAAGAAAGGAAGACATTAATCTCTATTAAAGATAGAATCGATGTCTAGGTCAAGGACGTTGGTTATTGATAGTTAATCGTACTCTCAAATTATTTTTATAGAATATATACGTAACGGAATTGTTTTCATTTTATTTTTTCGGCATTCTTACCACATACAACATTTATATATATATATATACATACATACCAATGCAATTATTTGTTCTGTTCTAAATTGTTAAAATAAAGAAAACATCATTTACTTTTACTATTCAACGGCAACGAATAGCCGTTAGTGAATGAAAGTAGATTGAAGAAAAACAAACAGAATAAGCAAAATAAAAAAAGAAATTAAATGAATTGCCTCAATGTTTTGATAAACTTCTCATTTATATGCATTTTCAAGGGTTATACATTAGTAAATTCGTTCTTGATCAGAACTTTGAGGTCAAATACAAACTTACACGTTTAACAAGATGGATAATTTAACTACGAAGCATATGAAGAATATTCACATAGTAGACAATCAGATGTCGTCATTTTTTCTTCATCTGTATAAACTGTTTACTTTTCACATTGACAATTATTCTCTATAAAAGAAAAATTTGCTATATTCTTATTGTGCAAGTAAATGAAGAAAGAAAAAAAACTTCTGATTAGGTAGAAAGATCCAATATATAAACTGTTTTGTTTTCTTTTTTTTTTTTGTTGTCAATTTGAAGGTATCAATTACACATTCTATCTTTCTATTTAATACTACACCAATGATATAAAGAACGAACGTGTTTAACAAAGAAAATGATTACGTGAAGTAAATAAAACATAATCAAGTAAGAAAAGAAGAAATGTGTCTTGACACTTGTATATGTGTCATCAGAGAGTTCAATACAAAATTCATCTTAAAACGAATATCCTTAACAATCAATACTTTCTCATATTGCATCACTCGATGATTAAATCTATTTTGTTCTCAATGCATATATTATATTAGCTGGCTGTAACAGACTTGATAATCGATGTGTCAGAAAGAGAACGTTATTGATGAGACTAAAGACCGATTAATGTTCTCTGTCAGATGAACAGAGATAACTTTCATGTTGAACAAGTTTATATCGTACATGTACAAAAGAAAAAAAATGATAGTAACATATTCCCTAACTAGTCATTATCTTGATCATTATATTACGCATGAAAAAACTTAATCTGTCTTCTCTTATATAGAAAAGTCATATTATGATGATAAGAAAATAGAAAAAGAAGAATTGACAATGAAGAAGATGAACTATGCAATGAAGATCAGTATGAATTTCTTTGCTACTTGAATATTTTTCTTCTTTTTTTTTTTCTTTTGTGATTAAGGCAACTTGTTGAAAGGAATGTTTGAATAGTAGGGTGTAGTCCATCTCCATCTACGAATAAATATATATATATTAATATATGTATATTCTAAAGCTAATCAAGCAACTGAAACCATTCTCACAATAGGATGTTGACAACGACGACAATTCAAAGAGAAGTGTCAACGTTTGGTTGTCGCATATAAAACTGAGTCAGGATAAAAAAAACCATAGTCGATAAACACCAAGAACAACATGTAGTAAAGTAATCAGAAAATAGTGAGTTGATGGTTTTTGCTGCTCTTACTGATGTTATTCCAAGGCCAAGACCTTGATAGAAATATGATTAACTGACAAGTTGACAGACAGAGCGGAAGAAAAGGAAAAAAAACGAGACAAACAACGTATAGTGTTCAGATAGATTCGACAATGAACGATCTATTTTTGGAACAAGAAGAAAAAAAAAAATCTTCCAACCGCAAACTTCGCGACTCATTATTCATTCATAAAATGAATATCATTAAAACTCAAGCTTTTATTTTATTTTTTTTTTCTCATAAATTGACATTCTCAATCGCATTTATTATATTGATATAATCATTTAACGAGCGACTTTTTTTTTTTTAATACAAACTTCTTTTTTATTGATGTGATTTATAATAATATGTTCCATATTCGACACCATTAAGATGGAATGAAGAGAAGAAAAAAAAACAAGCTTAATATTCTCGTCAAGGTTATTGATGTTCTATTATGTCTTTAAAGATAATAATAATAATATTGGTGATAAATGATCGACACAGATCATTTTTTTTTCAACAATTAACAGCGTCATTTTATTACGTAACTAACACACATAATGTATATAACTCCACCTGCTTCTCTATTTGCCGGAGGTGATGGTAGTTACTGACCTTATTTGCTTTTGTATATATATATATGAGAAGGGAAGTCATATTAGGTTAACCTTCGATCTACAGTTCCTTGTGGAGTCTAAACATAATTTGGCAATGACATTTTTTCTTCTTTTTCTTTCTCATTATTCGAATATATTTCTTACGAAATGAGCAACATTATGATTAGAAAAAATGAGTCCCATGTGTATATGTAGTAATATATCGAACATATATTCTAATTGGAAACAGTGTCATCATCACAATCGACATTCATTATTTGAACAAGTAACATAACTGCTGTGCCATCAAAAGTTCAATGTACATTCTAACGTATGCCTATAGTCATCAAGTCCGATTGGTCACAGAATGGCAACTGCTGTTATTTATGACCTGTAGTGAAACAGAAAGAATGATGTAATGGTTATCGAGATGTTGCGCGTGCATTATTACACGACACTTAGAGGGTCATATGCGTGAATGCATACAAACACATATATATATATTAGGTTTTATTCTTAAATTATATTCATATATACGCTTAAATCGCATCATCTCGTTTTTTTAATCATCCCACTAACTTGTTACCTTGAAAAAGCCGACAGTTAAAGCTAAAAACAAAATTTCCATTCTTTTTATTATTCTGTCTCATCAATCATCGGTGGTTTTCATACAAAAAAAAACACCCTAAATCCCCAATGATATCATCAATAAAACCAGAATATCGATAACAAAAGAAGAACATGCAGGGAGGAAAAAATCAAGAAAGATAGGAAAGCAATAAAATCCTTCCAATCCCTATAGAAATTAGACAGAAACGAAGTTCTATTAGTGGCAGAAATAAATAAATCCTATGTCGTATATTTTCGTCGTATTCATATTATTTATACATATATATATTCATTGTAAAAAAAAATGAAAAACGGTAACTAGATACGATTTGCATGAGAAACAAAATGCATGCATATGCATTCGTATGAAACCTTTACAGACAACAATGATCATGACGACAATCGTACAAATAAAAAAAAAAGAAAACCAAAGGTCATTCACTATGATTGTAATCGTCAAATATGCACATACATGCACACAGATGTGATTATATAATATAACATAGAAAGACATCATAGAACAACAATTAAAAAAATTCACTGTGTAAAGAACATAGATACATAAATAAAATACTGAGATTTAATATAAAAAAAAATACTAGGAATTAAGATCACGTTCATCAATCAATAATATTGGTTGACGTTGTTCCTTTAGAGAATTCGTTATAGATGAAAAATTATCATCATCAACCAAAAGATTGGCATATGATTTGACTTGGAGATGATGTTGTTGGTGTTGTTTAACATTAACTATTGATGTTGAATTTGTTGAAAAATATGGAAAAATAAAATCATCTGAATAATAATATAATTAATCATTTTATAGAAAGAAAAACAAAAAAAAAATTTCATTTACTTGTTTTTATATAATTTATTAAAATTAATCCACATGTTGTTATTAAAAATCCAACAATACATGCCATTGTATCAACAAATGTTAATTTATTCCATTCATGAAAAAGTATACCTGACGTTATTAATACACATGTTGTAAATAAAACATAATAAATTGTTGTAACTACTGGAGTAGAAAATAAATCTAAAGCTCGATTAAGATAAATCATTTGTATTAGAATACAAATAATAATCACTATTGCACATGAAAATGTTAACCATTTTGAATATGTATATTCACCATTAAAAATTTCTTTTAAACCAACACCAAGACCTTTACATGCTGTTACGGTAAATGCACCTAATAGGGAACATATTAATATATATATATGAACATGTTTTGAACCTAAACGTGGACCACAATATACAATTAAACAAAAAATACAACAGCAAGTGGTTGATGAAAAGAAAAGAAATCCTAAAAAAATTATTTATAACAAATATTATTTTGGAAATTTTTTTTATTTTTCTTTTACCTGCTGTTCCGATTTTACGAGAAAAATCAAATAAAGAATTAACTTCACTATCTTTAGGTGCATGAATTATAATTATAACTGAACCAAATACAGTAAGAAGGCAACCTATTTTACCTAGTATATTTAATTTTTCATCCAAAAATCGAACCGCCATTAAGGCACTAATCAAATAGAAAAAAAGAATTAATAAACAGAAAGAAAAACAAAATTTTATTTACACACCTGACTAGAACTGAAAGTGCTCCGAGTGGTGTAACAACTGATGCTGGAGCAAATCCATAAGCAGCAAAATTACATAATTCACCAAGTCCCATTGTTGCTAAACCTGCCCACCATAAAAATTCACGTAAATATCCAAAACCTCCTGATCCTATATATAAATAAACTAATAAATAAATTTTTAATGATCTTTTATTATAAAACCTGCACGTATTGCTCCATTATAAATAGTTAATTTAAGTAAACCTTTCTTTTTTAAAATAAAACTTGTACCAATAAATAGACTAGATGCAAGTGCTAATAATACTCCAATTGTAAATTGATTCGAATTTATTGGAATAGTTAATCTAGTTACTGTTGATACTTTAAAATTACTTAAATGAATATCAAATTTTTCTATTTTTATAAAAAGCAAATTTATTTATTTTATTTTAATAAATTATTTATTCGTTTACTTGTTTCGTTAATCATTCGTTATATTTTCATTTCATCTAAAATTGATCAATCAAGTTAAACATATGAATAACAAGATTTTTGTTTTATATAGAGATCTCTCGCATTTTCTTTTCAAAATATGGCACTGAACAAATAAATATTTATATTTAAACGAAAGCAGTAGGAGGTTCGTATATGTATGCCGGCATTGTTTTTTTTTTTAATATTTTCCACTCGATTTGTAATCAATCAACTCGTAATAGAAAAAGAAAAAAGGAATTCTAGCATCACTTAAAGAAAAGAAAAAGATAGGCAAACATAACTTTTTATAACAGAGAGATGCGATAGTTGTTGTCAAATAAAATAAAAGATTATGAGAATATAAAGCATTAAAAAATATTTCTTTATTCGTTCTATAGATCACGATTTAGATCGTAAATTCTTATCGGTTAAATTCACATGTCAATGAAATTACTTTATTAACCTTGATCATTAAGTATATGCATAGCAAAAAGAATATTCGAAAATTCTAATAAATCATATTGTGTATAGGTTGTTAACCTTGAATCATAGATCGTAAACAGAGAGAACAACAAATGATCTTAAAATTGTTTGAAAGATTAGCTAATGATTTATTTTCCTTGTCAAAAATGAAAAATTTCTTATTCTCAGTCTCAAATGATTAAAACTATTTAATGGAATTTTTGCTTGCAAAAGTATTTTACTATGTTACATTAACAAATTTTTTCCGTTTAGTTTTTACAAAATAGTAAAATTTCTTCTCAATAAAACTGATGAAAAAAAAAAGTAAGATTATTGGATAATTAGATGAAGATCTTTAATTATTGTTGATGAAAAAATCAGAACATTTCTTAAAAATCGATTTATTTTGTTAGGAAGAAAAATGAATAGAAATGTTATGTGAAAAAAAAACGATTTTTATGATGTATTGCATATTAAATATATGGCAATTTCGTCTGACATATATTTCCAGGCAAGCATCTAGTGCTACTTCAAGTAGATGAAGGCTTTTTTTTTTTATTTATTTATATATTATTAACGTAGTGCATATAAATTGGTGAGATGTTTGTTGTAGAACGAGAAGAAAAAAATTGTCAGATATTGAAACCGAATACTTGAAACATGATCATAAGAAATTCTGTTAATATCAACTTGTTCTTTTTTTTTGTTATATAAATAGTTTCATGTTCTTGCATGTCTATATGAAAAATGCTTAAAGTTTTTTGAAAAATTTCCCCTTATGCTAAGGTTATTTGCAAATGTCATTCAAAAAGAACATGCGTATCATTTTAAATAAAATAAAAAATTAACTTTATGTGCTTGTCGAGTACTTTCTAAATCAATGACGTCAAAAGTCTTTTTTTTCAATCTTTTCTCGTTCGATACCATGATATAAATATGTTTAATCATCTGTGCACATTATTTATGCTACAGGAAATATCTCATCATATGATTCGTAATAAAATCAAACAAGGTTATCATAACATGTAAATAAATAAAAGAATACTAAATAAAGATTTTTTTTTTCTTATCCATCGAATTTTTGTATACTTTTTTTCTAAAATATTACTCGAAAAAAAAATTAACTTTAATTCGACGAAAAACTGAAGTTAAAAACTTTTCCGTTATACTTACTAATCATAGCGGTGGTATTATTTATTTTTTAGTAATAATAATAAAAGTAAATATTATTATTCAGTCTATTGCATATTTTCACTATAATAATCATTGATGAATAATATCTTGAAAATACGCAAGAAATATTGTAAAATTTGAATATTATAATGTAAAGAAAGAATTTCTATGAGAGGGTTTATTATAGGTGAAGATAATCGATAACGATGGATTATGTTTCAACGATAAAATGAAAGTGCGTTAGAGTATTATTTATTGCGAAACAATAATATATTTTTGTGATATTTAAAAGAAAACAAAAGAAGCTATTTTTAGTTAATTATTGTTCTTGGTTTATCATTCGATGAAAAAATAAAGAATGAGAAACGGGAAATTGATGTGTCAACAAACAAAAAAAGCAATAGATGTGAATATACCAGTCGTTAGACAGATGTCACTCTACATTAGATCATAATCTAACTCTTTACTTATTCATTTTATTTTTGTTATTAAACTTTATTAGTTTAATTTCAATTGTAACTTGACTGAGAAATACTTTTTTTTATCCCATTTGATTTATTATGTTTTACGAACAACATAGATTAATTAATCAATCTTATTGTTAAGATCTTGTACGATTCTTACAAGATCATATACGAACTTATTCTATGACCTTTTATATTCGTTCAAGATCCTATATGATCTTGTACGACTTTATATGTTAATCTTAAAAGTACTTTTTTTTTGATAAAATCGTATTGTTTGACTTTTGTATCACTTTAATGTCAAATCTTATACTGTTCACATATGATTTTCTATGTTTTTCCACAACATTACATATCTGATTCTATCATCTTGTTTTCTTAAGAAAGTTTTTTTTATCTTTACTCGCATATGTATATTTATTTATAAAAATTACAAAAAAAAGAAAAATTATTCTTATTAAATTTGATGATCGTTACAATGATCTAAAATTTAAAACAAAAGAACCTACTTCTATTTAATCAAATTGATTAAATTATCTGTGAAGTTATTTTTTAGCAGATCAACACCAACGATGAGCCCAGTCCGAATTTTTCACGATCAATATCGGTCTACTGGCAGACCAGTTGCTCTGAAATCCGTACCAACACTTGACTGACAACTCGTTGCATTATTTCATCTGTAAGAAGTGATATTTGACGTAGTCAAAGTTCAGCGAAGTTTCAAATATACATCCTGTATGATATATAATAAGAGAAAAATAAATAAATAAGACAGTAGTAATGACCAGTCTATTGGTACCGGGTTGCATTTCATAGAAGATGTATTTTCAATGCAAAAAAAAGTAGCATCTAAATTCGAACGTATATATTCGCTTAAATATTTATTCAAATTCTCAAAACTTATTCTTTCAGTGAGATCTAAAATAATGATCTTAAAAAATTTCGATCATCAGACTTTGCAGGAATCATGTAAAACTGATTGTTGCATCTTATAGTCAGATAAATATTCAATCTATGATTATTCATTTATAGTTGGATGATACTCCGTTGACCGAATTATGAATAAAAACAAGTTTCTCTTGAGTAGTCACGTATTATCACTGTAAATTGTTTTTTGGAAACTCTTATTTAATTCTTTTAGTGGCTCAACAGTTCTGTAATAGAGTGTAACTCTAGAAAACCCCAAATGTAACTGTCTTATGAAGACATTTCACTTCGTGTCTCCAAATTTGTTTTTCAATGTCTTATACCTGTGGAGAGATTTTGAGAATTCAGATAGGTCTTTTAAGTTGAAAATTCTCCATTCTGTCGAGATATTCTAGAGACCTAGTTTTTCCACGAAAACCTGCAGAATGATTTTTTTTCGCGAGAACAGTGCAACCGATTGAGCTGAAACTTGTTCTAAAA